AAACTGCTCAGAAAACAAAATCTTTAACAAAAAAAGAGGAAATGATGATCTGCAAATACATTTTAAAATAGGAATTGCCTAAATTGAACAATAGTTTGGATGTAGGCAGATAAAGGAGAAGGAAAACAAACAAGACTGCAAGGTGCCTACCCTGCTGCCTGCGAAGCTTAAAGATTAATGGCGTGCATCACAATATAGCTGCCTCCAACACAACTAGATGCATGTTTTGAGTCTGTGTGTTTGTTTATTAAAATAAAGATAATGGATTAATGTATTTTAGGATATGTCCAATGTAAAGTGTTTGTGAAAGATCCACTTTGTCATGTCCAGCTGATATCTGGAATGTCAGTTTGCTACTTGGGAAAGAGGTCATCACAGGGCATTTAACTTTGGCAGACAAGTATACATAGAGGTGATGATTGAAAACTTGAGAATAGATGAAAAAGAAAAGAAGTATATATAGGTATTTGAAGAATGTTAATTTTTAAAGAGTGATAATTGAACAAGGGGTCAGTCACATCTCTCAGCCAACAGTGAAGTAGGATAGGAACCAGGGAAGTTATTCATAAAAGGGTATAGTTGAGAGTTTTACCAAGATTAAGGACTTTTGAGTTTGACATGTAGAAATAGACTGATGGGATATATAATTTTATATGATTTTAGTGGTGTGATGTGAGTGAAACTCAGGTAATACTATACATAAGATAGATAAATACAAATGTAAATATAGAGATAGATATAGATGAATATATGTATGCAGACACTGAGATTGATACATTTTTGTTGATAAGGAAAATAATCAAAGGGGGATAAAAGCATGAAGAATTATATCTGGGAGTGGGGATAAGACCAGTACCTGGGGATGTTAAGAATGTTAATTGGGCAAAGGGAAGGAATCAGTCAGTGGAGAAAGATTATTGCAGTCAAAGAAACGGAATAATTGGTGGAGCACAGAAATTGAAAGGAGTAGAGTCTAAGATAGGAAAGGGGAGTAGGAAGCATCACAGAAGAAGGGAAGGAGAACTAAAAAACAAAAGAACAATGAAAAAAGGTGGGGTGAGGATCAGAGGACTCAACTCTATGTGGGATTCTATCATAATGACTTAAGAAGTACAATTATTCAGTGGTACTCTTAAAATATTGTTGTTTAAAACTGTAATTCTCAAAATTGGCTGCATATTAGAACTTTCATTTTCTTAAATAAAATCTGTCTAAGTGACTCTGTTATGGGTGGTCAGATCAATTAAATACAAACATCTTAGAATGAAGTGCTGGCATCAATATTTTAAAAGTTCCTCAGGCAGAATGCTAATATTCAATTGTCATTGAGAATCACAGTTTAAGAGACTTGCAGATGTTTACAAATAGTGTTTATGGAGCATTAATTGGATAGCTAGCTACTAGTATTTAAATCTACATCTTCAAAATAGTAAAATCTGTATCTTTTATGGGGACTAATTGTCTTTTCAAGAAAACTAGCAATGTGTGGAGTGGTATTTATGGAGCATGGTATTTATTAGTGTCAACCTATAAGATTGCATTGACATCCCATAAAATGGTCTGCATGGAATGAAAAATGAAATCATCTCATGCAGTAATTTTCCCCTAAACAAAATATGTGTTAATAATGTGATTATACTTCAGCTCCAGTTACAGAAGATGATGTTGGTGCTTTAAGGTAGCACTCTTCTAAGTGTTGTTCATGACCCATGTGCGTGAGAATCACTCCAGTCCTTTTGGCCAAAATCAAGTGTAAGAGACATATATAAAGTCAGAAGCTCAATTTATAACTGAGAACTTATAACAAGGATCTGGGTAAAACTTTATAACCAACTCATTTGCTCCTTGCAGACAGGGTAGATACTTGATAAGAAAAATATACTGTACTTAAAAAATTGAGTATGTGCTCACAACACGCTAAAAGAGTCTCATGGCTACATTGAAAATGACAATAATTAAAATCTGTTGCCCGAGTGTCTTTTTTTTTGAAAGTGCTCATTGTCACTTTTGTTTCTGACACTTTCAGTCTTTGACATCAGTTTACTAACCACCAAGTAAACTGATGTATCCTGTGTCAGGTCAATGGGGAAAGGCAGGGTTGTGACGAGGTGTAGCACAGGGACCTAGGTCATGACTCTTAAAGGGTATATGTAGATCAGAGTTCTGTATCAAGTTTCTTTGTTTTAAATATATTATCTCAATGAGAACTACTTTATGTCTAAGTTCTTGTAGTATGTTTTATAGCAAGACCATCCTTCTACCATATACCAGAAATAACATTAAAATACTAATTATAAATCTTCATTTGTTGACTTTTAAATAATTTTTAAAATTGTAGGCATGCTGACACAAACACCAATCTATCTTCACAATCTGCATAGTTCAGGGAAATATGTAAAATATAAGTCTTTAAAGGCAAGGAAATATTCGTTTTACAAAGAGATACATAAGGGAAATTAACTTTTGTAGACTTCAAATGAGAGAAATAAGCCTTTGATCCCCTAAGGCAAACATTTTTGAGATACAGTTTCTCCATATAATTGCTATGATTTTCTTAGTTACACTTTGTAGTTCCCTGCTGGCTGTTTTTCTGTGTAAACTTACTTTCATTTCCAATTATGACATGGAGATGAAAATCAGGTCTAATTAAATAAGGACATGACAATAATTGTCATTCTTTTATTTATGTAAAATATGGGTTTTCTACCTGTGAAAAGGTGCTTTAGCACAGAAAAATGTAGCTCTCATGGTCCATCAATTGACTGGAACTAATAGCCATGTATCTACAGCTTCCCATTCTTTCATATCTTTATCCATTCATTATTACTTGTCTAAGGGTCTTCCTTTCTTTCATCCTCAAATAAGCATTTATTAGGTAGCTGCACTATATTTATTTTATTTTATAATTTTAACTTTTATTTCAGATTCAGGGGGTACATATGCAAGTTTATTACCTGGGTATATTGCACGATGTTGAGGTTTGGGGTATGATTGATTCTGTCACCCAGATACTGAACATAGTACACAATAGTTAATTTTTCAATTGTCCCTTCTCCCTCTCTCCCTCTGTAGTAGTCCCCAGTGTCTTTTTTGCCATCAGCAGCTACTGTATTAAACATCTACTATATACCATGAACTATAGATACAGATGCCACAAATACAGAAATAAACTAGTTACAGTTCTGCCCTGAAATCAAATGTTTTAAAACACATTCATTTCATTAATGTGACAAGTACCATACCAATATATTAAAAAATTTACTGTAGCAGTTTGAAACGGTTTTTCTCTCTTTACTAAATACACAGCAGACACTATTTACACATGGAATAAACATTCCATTGAATTCCCAGTCCCCAGGCTATCATGTCACCCCTTCTATAGAACTCAAGAAAGCATATCTTAATTCATAAACAAAAAAATCACATTGAATGATTTCTTTTTTCTTTCGCATTTTTGTGTGTGTGTGTGTTTGTTTTTGTTTTGTTTTGTTTTGAGACGGAGTCTCGCTCTGTCCCCAGGCTGGAGTGCAGTGGCACCATCTTGACTCACTGCAACTTCCACCTCCCGGGTTCAAGCAATTCTCCTGCCTCAGCCTCCAGAGTAGCTGGGACTACAGATGCATGCCACCATGTCTGGCTAATTTTTAAAATTTTTTATTTTAGTAGAGGCGGGGTTTCACCATATTGCCCAGACTGGTCTCGAGCTCCTGAGCTCAGGAAATCTGCCCGCCTCGACCTCCCAAAGTGCTAGGATTACAGGTGTGTGCCACCATGCCCAGCCGCACTGAATGATTTCTAATTTTAATTAGCAATTAATGCAAAGTTAGCAATGATTTATCCCTGGAATAAATATTTACTGCATGGCTAATATGTCTGCCATGTGCTGGCATTACAGTGCCAAACAAGGCAGCCAAAGTTACTAAACTCCTGAGTTTTCAATTTGGAGTGAGGGAAAGAAGAAAATAAGTTAATTTCATATATTATAAGGGATATGACCTTGATGAGAGAGGAAAAGATCTAGGGAAAAAAAAAGTGTGTGTGTGTGTGTGTTTGAAATAACTTATTTAAATGTAATAAGCACAGATAATGGTAAAAAATAAGATAAATTAGGAATAAAGATGTTGCCTGACTTACGTGTTTTCAAAGGTACCATTTACTATCTAATTTAAATTTTCTCTGCTGTAATGATTACATTTTATCTAGGTAACCAATATCTAGTGGGATTATGCACCACTTTACTAAGGCTGTTTTTTGTATTTATCTCCAAGTGAAATTTAATCAATTTCTACAGCAGTGAAAAGTAATTTGAAGATTTAATGTATTCAGTATATTAATAAAATATAAACTGGTCAAATAGCTATTTTTTTTTGAAAGTAACAACCAAGCATTTATTCACTTACTACCAACAAATAGCTATGTTTACCTCTAATAACCAGTTAAGTCTCCTTTAGAGCCATATAGATATTCTTTTATTTATGTTGTGTGTGGTTGTGTGTTTGCTTTTTTGTTGTGTTTTTTTTGTTGTTGTTGTTGTTTGTTTGTTTGTTTTTTTGAGATGGAGTTTTGCTCTTGTTGCCCGGGGGGAGTGTAATGGCATGATCTCAGCTCACCGCAAGCTCCACATCCCAGGTTCACGCCATTCTGCCTCAGCCTCCCAGGTAGCTGGGACTACAGGTGCCTGCCACCATGCCCAGCTAATTTTTTTGTATTTTTAGTAGAGACGGAGTTTCACCGTGTTAGTCAAGATGGTCTGGATCTCCTGACCTTGTGATCCACCCACCTAAGCCTCCCAAAGTGCTGGGATTATAGGAGTGAGCCACCATGCCCTGCCAGATATGCTTTTATTTGAAAAGTAACAGAAATTTAAAGCTATTTAAACTAATTATGCTCTACAATAAATGTGAAATCAATTTTTGTTTCTTAAGTAATTTCTTAATGAACACATTATATAATGCCCATGTACATAGCAACTTTGAGTGTACACTCATATGAGTAGTTACCTGTATGACACTGTCCCCAGGTCTCATATCTGTATAAACATACACATCATAGGATATTTCAGGGAAGGTTGGTGTGTTATCATTTGCATCCATCACTTGAATATTGACGATGACTGGCTCACTTTCTTGTACACCATCAAATGCTGTTATCTTTGGGAGTAGAAAAACACACTTAATAGAGATGTTCTGCAAATATAAGTAGTACAGAGTTTGCTCTTACAGTTTAACACATTTCTTACAGGTAATCTTACAATGTGAAAGGGTGTAAAAATATTTTGTTGATAAAAGGAGGTAATAAAGATGTAATATTACACATACTAAAAGTGTTCTAATATGATAAGAAGCAAGTACTGAAGATTTTGTTTTAAGGTATTCAACTCCCGGCATATTTTAAATAATCAGATATGCAAAATATCATTTAAAGTGGGTCAGTAACACTGCTGACTCTTAGGGTTAACTACAATTTAATCCTTAAAAACTTAATTGGAAAATATTATTTGCATTTACATATTTTGTATACAATAGTCCTTTTACAATCAATATGTTTATATCATCAGGAAGGTAGACGCCCTAGATGCACATTGTATCACAGTAATTCACCCAATGGCAATTTTCAAAGGACTAAATGGCATCATGCAATTGTGATATTTTATACATTATCAACATTTTAACAATGCCTGCCAAATCAGTGCTACAGCACCGGCATCTTTGTCTAAATCCACCCTGTATCTAACTTTTAACCATCACATAAACTTTCCTGGAAGTTCTCATCTTTTTCTCTGTAGGCTTCTCCAGAAATAATTTCTATATATCTTAATTTGTGCTTTCTCTTAGCTCATCTTTCTCCTGTGTCTGATTCAAAAATTGGAATATAATTAGAAGTTACATTTTATCTTTATTCAACTGTCAACCCTACTATACTTGTTATTTACGTGTTTGTGTGCATGTGTATGTATGTTTATGTGTGTATTTCCCTATCGCATGATTTTTACAATCACAACTTTAATAACCTTTACTTTTTTTCCCCCTTGATTAGCCTAACCCATGATTTATTTACCTCAGTGCTATTGATACCTTGGGACAGATAATTCTTTATTGTGGGGGGCTGTTCTCTGTATTACAATTAGCAACATCCTTTATGTCTACCTACTAAATGCCTATAATACTCCTTCACAATTGTGACAAACAAAAATGCCTCCAGATGTTGCTAAATGTTCACTGGAGGGAAAATGTATTCCCTCTTGAGAACCACTGGCTCAACTTTATGACTAAATTAAAAATGCAAGAACGACAACAAAAAAGGTTAGGCAATAATTATTTGTATCTCAATTTAAGACAATTACGACTTTGGTAAAGACTGAAATTCGCACTTTCTTTTTTTATTTTGAAAAGTTTTCTTTTTCCTGTGAGGAAGAATGTTAATATAGCTACACAAATTACAAACAAAGAGCGATACATGTAAATAATTTTTCATTGATCTTCTCTCTGGTATTGAAAATAATGTATTTTTCCCCCAAGTTGATGACCTTTTCAGTTTTAACCAGACATCTCTTTCAGTTCCATGCAAACACACATACATATTTTCATACATACATATATATATATTTATACAAAAGCTCTTTACCGAAAAGGTGTAAGTTTGCTGTTCTTCCCTGTCCACTGGTTGAAGTAAGGTGAGGTAGCGAGTAATACCAGTCTGTGTGACGGTGAAGACTGAGGTGTAGTCATTCAGAAAAAGATGAAGCTCTGGGTCTTTTGTCTTTGAAAAAAAAGACATCATTTCAAACGTTGAATAAATAATGTAGCTATTAGTTCATCACCTAGAAGTTAATGTTTGAAATTTATAGCAAAAATCCAGATAAAAATATTAAGAATTTCTAAAGACAAAAAAAAATTTAACTAGACATTTACTCATTAATGATCTAAACTATTCAAAAGATAGTGACCTACATCGTGGAATACAAAATACTGAAATACACACAGGTATAATCAATATGGTAAAAAGGAAAAATAACAGAAAAACAGAAAGAATATAAAAACTCCCAATTAAATATATTTTTACAAATTATTTGCTATCAATATTTTCCAAAATAGCATTGGACTAGGGAAATAAGAAATAAAAGCAAGAAAAGAAAATTGCAGTTCAAAATTTTAGCAATAAGCTTTTACAAATACTTGATTTGTAATAATAAACTGCATATATGCATATTACTATCGTTCTTACTTATAATGCAAAATATAAATAAAATTGGTTATGTATTATTCATTACCTATAAATATCACGCTTGCTCTTTCTTATTTTAATGCTGTAAAATTCTCCAAATGGAAACATGTTTACTTTAATTAAAATATTTCAGATAATTTGATTTAAAATATGCATGAATTTAGCAAATGTGTCTGATAGGAGTGTCTAGAAAAAGTGATATATACTTAAAAAGGAAGGGATTACAAAATTCAAGTCGGAGAGATAATCAACTTAGCATTGAAGACCCTTTGCAATCTCAATGCCACCCCTGAAAGAGAAGACAACCTACTCCGTAATTTAGAGAAAGAACAGCAATATAAAGTAAGAAGGCTAGCACTGGTATCTGCATAGTAGGAAAGAAGGCAGGTGGAGCAAAGAAAAAAGGAATATTCCGAGAGTGGACTATTACAAAGGCTATGAGAAAGAGAAACAGGAGTGATACAGGGAGTTAAGGTGTTGTTCTAGATGATACTATCTTTTAAAGTATGCTTAACATGTTATGAAATGGATTTAATATAAAACACTCTTTTAAGTCTGGTGTCAAGGGCTGAGGGAAAAACAAACAGTAGAAAATTTTTAAATGTGTTTAATTTGAAAATAATAGAACTCATAATTTCAAAATTTCTATGTAAAATAAAAAAGTTGTAATGCACACTACTATAATAAAATGTGAACATGATTTGATCCACAATATACTTGAATCTGCCCATCTTTTAAATATTTCATTATGTGTTGATTTCAAATAACTTTGAAATAAATGATTTCATTTGAACCTAAAATAAGTTATGTATTCATAATATCTCATTCTGTAGTTGCATCTATGTTTGACTTAACGTTACTGTGCTACATTTATCCTGGAACAATAAGAAATTAATACTATAGATAATAATTCCAATTGGTGTATTTATTATAAAATGATCAAAAACATTGAGAAAAAGTTCAAGAGGTTTCACACTCTGATATTCTCTTTTCTTTTCTTTTTTTTTTTTTTTTTTTGAGACGGAGTCTGGCTCTGTCACCCAGGCTGGAGTGCAGTAGCGCGATCTCGGCTCACTGCAAGCTCCGCCTCTCGGGTTCAAGCTATTCTCCTGCCTCAGCCTTCCGAGTAGCTGGGACTACAGGCGCCTGCCACAACGCCCGGCTGTGTGTGTGTGTGTGTGTGTGTGTGTGTGTGTGTGTGTGTGTGTGTGTTTAGTAGAGACAAGGTTTCACCGTGTTAGCTAGGATGGTCTCGATTTCCTGACCTCGTGATCAACTCGCCTTGGCCTCCCAAAGTGTTGGGATTACAGGCCTGAGCCACCGCGCCCGGCCCACACTCTGATGTTTTCAAACAGGCACGTTAGTTGTTTCCATTTCAGTGTCATGAATCCAATTACTCAGTATAGCTAGAAAGTGGGATATTCTAAAAATCTAACATGTTAGTTAATTTTACAAATAAATAATTTATTTAGAGAAGTCAATTAGAAAATGCAGATGTCAATTTTGAATGATATTTTAAGGATTCTTATTTTACACTTTAGAGTGAATTGTGATTAAATTCAATTATTACTTCAGAGTTGATAAAAAGTTTTAGTTAACATGCAGCTTCAGTCAAAGAAACTCTAAGTATGAATATCTGCCATTTGTTTTGTGTTTATCCTGGATTTACCTAATCACTGGGCTTTTAAGTACATATACACTTCTCTAAATGTACCACTAATGGTGCCATCTGGCATGCCTTAATTTATTTTAACCTTTAAACCCTAAATGCAAGCTGTGGAAGTTTTGCTATCCACCTTGTTTACCAAATATTTACTTTCTTCCTTTTGATCAAGTCTTTCCATCATTCTCTACTTCCTTTATGCCTTAATTCTCTCTCAATTTATTTTCTTCCTTTCAACTGTAACCTCTGTTAATAAATTTGTTACATATATTAACTCATATCTTCACCATATCTTTTTAAGCATTTTTGTGTCAAGTATTTTGATAATGCAATATTTCAATAAGTATTGAGTTGTGAACTAGTGCATCCAAATGTGACTGTAGTATAATATGTTTGTGTCACAAACAGCACTTACATTTTACCACTTTCAAGAAAACCTCAAGGTTTTGTTTGCCAAATGCTTTTCACTTGAAGATAATGCACACATCAATACGCCATAAACAGATGTCCTCATATTGGATCACCAGAAACATTAAAGACCTTTTGTTAATTTAACTGTCTCAGTTTCTTGAGTGGTTTTATAATAACTAGCTAGAGAAAGATAATATTTTCCAGAACTACAGTGTATTTGTTTTTTATGAAGATAATGTATCACAGAAAGCTAGCACTATACATGGCATATTATAGTTCATTCTAACATGTTTTGTATAGTTAATCTCTGATCAAAATATAACATTTACATTTATGTATATTTAAAATAATAATCTTAAACATAAATGCTATTGGTAAATATCCTCGTATTAAGTACAAAAATTTAGGAAGCCAGATTTGTAAATGTTCTACAATTTGTCATTCAATGTTTAATAATTTAGATTCATTTTTAAAGACAGTGCAAGTTTCAAATGTTGTGTATATATTTATGTTCCAAATATTACAGCATATCATTTTGAGTTTTATGAAAATTTTATGTAATATCAACATAAAATGTTAATAGATACATATCAGTACCAACTAACCTATTGTTTTGATTGACATTATTTACAGTTAAAGGCTTTGCTACTCTTCACAAGAAAGGCATATCAAATTTTTGGTAAGAAACAATGTGCAAATATCCATCTATAAATCTCTTTATAAACTTAAATTCCTTCTTGTCAAGCTGCATTCTGGTAACAGTTTGAATTTCACAAATATATTTGAATTTTGCAATTCCTAAAGAGTAAGTCAAGTCAACACTTGTATATTTGCAACTCTTTTAATCATGTTAGAGTTAATAGCTTATAAGTTTCATAGACTGGGATGTATATGGACAAATAATGCTCTGGCTTAATATTCCAATAGAGGTAGTAGAATTTAGGTAGCTGTCGTATCTATAAGTTTATTTTAAATGGATTTCAGTGTTAAATCAATAGGTACACAGAGAGTTCGTTAAAAAATATTAGTTTCCCCTGATATTAGGTAATATTTGTTTTACCCTAAAATATCCATGCAGTATATACCAAAAGTATGATATATTAATTCACTTATCTGCATCTTATTTTTTGAGAGAATAAAATAAGCTCTGACATGCACACATAAAAACAGAAAAAAATGCAAAAGTAAATGCATATGCAAACACACGGGTAAACAAACATATGAATGCAAAATAAACAAGCATTCTATCATATAAAACTATGTTCTAATATGAGAGTCTACTGTTTAAACACCAACTTGGGGTTTCTAATGGGAATAAATATATCACAAACACACAAGACTATATGCATGCACATATATAGGCACATACAACACAGCCATGTATAGACATGTGCACATATATATGTATGCATATATATAAGCATATATATAGATGACAAAGTATAAGAGAAAAATGACAAAAAAAAAGTATCTCCTCAGCCAGTTTTAATTACTTGATAGTAGGTGCCTGAGTATTTAGTTCAAAAAAATTCAATTTCAAACTTACAATGTTTTACAAAGAATGCCATGATAAATCATCCATATTTGTTGTGGACTGAGAAAACATTAGTAATTAAGCAGTCTTTGTCTCAGTTGACAATTAAATTTGGATTTTACAAAATTTCATAGTATTATAACCAATAGATTATATAAATATTTTTACCTTTTTTAACTTTAAAATCTTTTTAAATTTTAAACCAATAAAGTATATTTACATTTATATAAAGTATTTGAAAATATCCTTATAAATGATAATGAAATAAAAGCTACATGTTTTAGTGAAGAGGAAAAAGAACAAGGAAATAACCACAGCAATTAACAAAGGAACAATCACAAGCTTAACACCTAGTACCTACAGGAACTCCACTGGGTGGAACCTATATGCAAATTAAACATGAAATAAATATTGTAAATGTAAATGATCACAACCGCACATATGAAGAAAAAGCAAACCAATTCCAGCACACTAGACTGACAACTGTTTTCAGAGTATATAATTATTCTATTAGTATTGTGACCCACATATAATGGAATAACAATATTTATGAAGTGTATAAATACTGCTTTATGAGTATATTGAATTAAATATCCAAGATAACTCTTTATATTAAAGTAACTTTATGCAGGGGAATAAATTTATATGAAATTAAAAATTAATAAGTATCTTTTTATAAGCCAAATGGGTAATCTTTATTGATTATTATTCCTTGTCAATTTTTTACGATCAGAATTCAATAATCAATTTTTAGCATCTCTGACACTGAAAACCTGGTGGACTCAGATATGTCTCTTAAAACCTTGTGCCTTACCTATTCTACTTATATTGTGGGTTATTTTGAAATTATGATGTGGTACAAGTACTCTAAAATGCATACTGTATAAACCGATATGATTCATATATATATACATGCGTGTGTGTGTG